GAGTTATTTTCAACTCCATCCCATCCCCACCTCACCCAGATGCCAAACTCCACTGTTTTCCCTTCCACGTCTCATATCCCGCCACCCCCCATGCTTAGGCCTCCATCACCTCCTACATAGACTGCTGGTCTCATTATGTCATCTCTCCTCACTCTGATCCATTCTCCATGTAACTGCTAACGCGCTATCAAACACATGTCTGATTAGGTCATTTCGAAGGCCCGCTATCTCCCCCTACTGCCTTGGGGAACAAATACCAACTTGCCAAATTAGCATCTAAATTCCTCTCAAATCTGGCCTTACTACACACTGTCCCACCTTCTACACTCTACGGTTCAGTTCCACGGCTCCTCATTCGTGATCCTCCTCCCCCAGCTCTGTGATTTTGCACTGGCCATCCCCTGGGGCCTGGAATAGCCTCCCTTCTCACCCAATACTGGGGAATACTCAGTTTCATTCAAGGGCCAGTTCAAATGCCTCCCACTACATGAAGCCTTTCCCGATCCCTCCCAGGGGACTGTGCCCTCTTCATAAAAATCGCTTTTATCTGTTTCACATATAAAGCAACACCTACATGCTTTCTCCTCTGGCTAGAGTGTAAGCTCCTAGAGGGCAAGGAATGTTTCACTTCTGTGTTGTATCCCTAGAGTTTGGCATACAGTAGGTGCTTAATAAATGTTTATTTACCAAGTGATACTCAACTTCTATTTTCATTTAATGGCAAAACAAAAACCCCAAAATACAAAATAACACATACTGTTAAATTTATATTTCAAAGGCTCACAGAAGTAGAGTTGAGAGTTGGAGGGTCAAGCGGTTGAGAGTTAGACCACCTCGCACGGTCTAATTCAACAGAAGACAAAAACAAGGCCCAACATCACAGGGCAGAAGTGGGCAGGTGGCAGAAGCCGCAGGGCCTCTCCTGCCAGACCTCTGCTGGGGCACGCTCCCTCTGCCTCAACCCCCAGCACACCTCTCATTTCAACTCCTCTCTCTCCTCAACTATCTAACTCGCTCCCACCCTCCCCGCTTCCTGGGAGAATAAGCAGTGTGGAGTCACATCTCCAGCACTTCATTCTTCTTCTTGTCCCACACAGACCAACAAATTTACCTCCTTTACACGGAGGTGCCACGCCTACCCTTGTCTCAGCATTGTCCCTACCCCTAAAATTTTGCAGATGAGGTGTTTCTGCTTCCCATCTGCTCCTATCAAGAAGAAATAACAACTATAATAATTACTAACATTTCTATGGTACTTACTACATGCCAGGCAGTGTGCTAAGTACTTTACAATTGACATCGCATTTGATCCTTACAACAACCCTGGGAGGTGGGTGATATTATTATCCCCATTTTACAGATGAGGAAACTGAGAGAAACAGGGGTTAAATGACTTGCCCAAGGTCGCATTGCTAGTTAGTGTTTGAGGCCAGATTTGAACGCAGATCTTCCTGATTCCAGGTCCAGTGCTCTATCCATTGCACTGCCTAGCTGCCCCATGACTGGCTCATGACTTGACACAATCTGCATGTCTACCCACTACCCCCAACTCATCTCCTACTAAACCCTTACCACAATCTGCCTATTACAGCCAGTCTAGGCTGGCTGGATTACTTCCCACCAAAGATATGTTCACGTGCCCCCACAAACTAACCACATCCTATCTCGTCTAAGGGCCAACTCAAAATGTATTTCCTTCAAGAATTCTTCCTCCAAGGGCAGTGATGGTACTGGCATGTCAAAACTGATGTAGTCTTAAAACAAACAAACAAATACAGCTGTACATAGTAGATTCATGATTTCACATGCAAGTCTCTTTTTTTCTATCATGCATATATGGAAATGTAATGACTGTCAGGTGCCTGATTTTAAATTATTTTTATTTATATCAAAATATTTTTCTGAACCTCTAGGATGTACTTCATGCCTGTACTTCTCATTTTGATACTTTAAAAATGACAGAAAATGCATGGTGAACACCTACTAAATAGTTGATAGAACCTGAAGTCGCTTTGACAGAAAGAACAGTCAGAGAATCTAGCTCAGCGCCGGACAAAGAGTAAGACCAAATTCCTGAGAAAATGTCTTAGTTGTCATTGGAAGAAAGGAACACCAAAGGACTGAGATGCATCCCACCCATCATAAAGGCTCCAGTGCCGTGAGATTCGGGGATGTGAGAAAGAAATGTGTCCAGACTTTAAGCAACAACCCAGCTATTATTTCTGCAAGGAAGAAAATCCGACTCACCAGGCACCTGGCTGTTGAGATCACAGGACCCATGTTCTCCCCCTGAATAAGTGCCTCCTGTAAAAGTGCAGAATCCTCAGAAGAAAAAAAAAGAGCTGGGAAGAAGAGAGGAAACAGGATGGTGACCAGCATTTCCTTGAGAAGGGACAAAATTAGAAGTCCCCCCACCTCCACACAAAGATCAAACAGGCACCGTTCTAACTGCTGGGGGTACAAAGAAAGCTAAAAAGACGGTCTGCTCTGCAAGAGACCACACTCAAATATTACACACAAGACATACAAGATAACTGGAGATAATCAACAGATTACTGCCCAAAAAGGCCAAGTTTAGGAGAACAAGATGGGGACCCTCTTGTCCTGCTGCTCCCATGGCAAGGGAAAGGGCCAAAGTCCTTGGGGCAGCATCCAGGGCTAGCTGAATGTCCCACACCCGAAGGGGGGAAGAATGGAGGGACCAAAATCTCTGACTCAAGGAATGGAGATCAGTCCCAGGGAAGACCCTCCTGCCAAACAAAAAGGGGAGCCCCTAGCAGCTTAGGGTTGGCCCATCCTCAGGGATGTTTCTGGAATTCTGCTTCTACCTCGATTTCCCTTTCCTACCCAAGCTGGCATTTCACTTCCTTAGAGTGAAGAGACCATTATTTCACAAAGAGTTGGAAACTGTGGTTTAGAGAGGGCAAGACATCAGGTCACACAGAATGAAAGCAGAAGAACTGGGATTCGAACCCTGGTCCTGACTCCACAGCCCGCCTCTCTTCTCCAGAGGGGGAGGAAGCACCCTTTCCTGAGCATGCGCAGGAGCCTCTGAGGGCCTCAGTACTACATTTCCCAGAAGCCGCTGAGAAGTATACTTTTTTCCTTCCAGTCCCAAGGCCAGGACTAAACCCAAGAAACTGATGCAGGAACGGGTTGGGGGGTAAAGACGGGGGTGTCGGACCGGAAGTACCCGGACATCTCTGTCCTTTTCGGGGCCACTTGCGCACGCCCACAGGGACTGGCCTCCCGACTGGCCTAGGGCTGAGGCAGCCTCTGTCTCCTGTTCTGGGCATGCGCAGGAGGGAAGGCTGGCAGGGAGAAACAGCGAGGCGTGCAGAGGAAAGAGCCTGAACCTCAGCTTGAGAGGCGGAGACGGGATGCCAGGGGCGTTGCAGGGACACATACCTGACTGGCGCAGGCGGCCACACTCAAGAGGAAGAACAACCTGTAGGCGTTTCCGGCCCCAATCCCCAGCTCGGGCTGGCTTATCTTGTTACCATGGCAAGTGACGAGACTCAAAGCAGATCCAAGAAGCGATCTCCCCAAACTCTTCTGGGAAAGGTAGTTCTGAGTCCAAGAGCAGCTTCTGCGCATGCCCAGATTTGGAACCCTGGCTATGAGTGAGGGACGCGCTCTACAAAAGGGGAGAAAAATGCCGAGGAAGGATTCCTTCCGTGACCGCATTATGGTACAGACTGATTGAATTTGGGAGATCAGTCGTCAGGAGACCCTTTCTGAATCCCACAGTTATTAATTCTCCAATCACTTTTCACGTAGTTGTAAGTCACTCCTACCCCCAATAGGGGGTGGTCCGGCTCCAGAACCCAGGGCCCTGATTCATTCCTGGAGGAGCCTGGTCACAAAAAGAAAGAAGTCATGCATTTCTCCAGCTCTGGTTCATTAGGTTCCCCGGGCCCCCGCCCCCCGGAGTTCCTAGGAAAATGTCTAAACCGAGCATTGGTATAGCGCATGTTTAAGATCTGCCCAAAAAAGGAATTAACAAATTTCCTTCTAGAAAGGTACTCGTACAAAAATGGGTGCCAAGCGCAAGACAGCTATTTATTTCCAATACAAAAGAAATACTTAAAACACAGAAGACTGATAAGCACGAATTTAGAAAGTAAACAATTGCCCATCACGATATAAGACAAAGGCAAGCAACTCTGTGACACCGCTCCACACACATATTACTTTTATCAAAAAACTGAGCAACTCCTGAGGTGCAGATCTTCTGGCCACTTAGGAGTGTGTTTCTTCTCTTTGGTTCCGGAATCCTCTTGGTTTTGGTTACCTTCTCCTCTGAGAAGTGTTGTAGCGGCAGGAATCACCATTGGGCAGCTGATAACTAAAGAACTGAAACTCATGAAAGCCTCTGAAGCTGAAAACCCTTAAAACTATCGTTCAGTGACACGCCTCTAGGGAAAGAAATACAAAACGGAAAATGTGGCGGGGGCCTGAGGACCAATTAGGAAGGGTAGAAGCTAATACCTCCACTAACGTCCTACTCTGGCTCGAAGTCCGCTTTCCCGAGGTACCCTCTCATCTGCCCCCTTCGCCCCCCCCCGGCCTCAATTTCCACCCAAGCCAGGCTTTCATGGGATCGTCGCAGAGCATCGAGTCCCAAACTCCTGATTTTACTGAAGGGAGAACTGAGGCCCAGAGATCAAAGGGACTCTCCCAACGTCACGACGCGTGCAAGCAGGAGAGGTGGCATTCGAACCCGCGTCTCCCGATTTCTCATCCTGGCACCTTTCTACTTGCCTCACTTGGATGTAAGGTCAGGGTTTTCAACTGAGCGGTTGCCTAGGCTCTTTCCTGGGCATGCGCAGCAGCGGCCGTGTGTGCAGGGACTACGTTTCCCAGAAGCCACTGCACAGAGCTCTGGTCCGCCCGGGGTGGGAACCGGCAAGTTGCCATAGAAACTGACGCCGACTACGCCAAGGGTGTTGATGCTGTTCCCGGAAACACGCGTCACCTGGGCGGGACTTCCGTTCCCTCCTCGCCGTCTTCCATTCGTTCCTTAGGTTTCAGCTGTCTGTCCGCTGACACCCGCGGCCACGGGAGTGTGTGGGGTGTCCCCAGGACCTCGGGAACGAGGCCGGCCTTCGGCCGTTTCTCCGCCACTTCTCTTCTCCTCTCCCTTATCAGTCAGTCAGTCAGTCAGAAAACGTTGTTTTGGCACCTGCCATAAGCCAGGCGCTGCGCTACGCTCGGGGGACACAGAGAGAGGCAGCCACCGGCCCCTTCCTCTCCCCTCCGCCTCCTCCTCTGAATACTAACTAGCATTCTTATAGCTCTCTACCGCTATCCCCTCATTCGGGCCTCACCACAACCCAGCAGGTAGGTGCTGATATTAGCCCCATTTTACAGCTCAGGAAACAGGCGGGTCGGGGCTCAGGGTCACACAGCTAGTAAGTGTCTGAGGCTGGATTTGAACTCGGGTCATCTTGACTCCTGGTCTAGCGCTCTCGCCCCTGCACCACCTCCTGCCTCAGAGGAAACAGAAGCAGTCAGAGAAGCCCATCTTTAACCCACCTAACTTTACTTCCCCTTCCCACTCCTCCTTCCCTCTCTTCTCTTCCCTTTTTCTTCTTCCCCATCTTCGTTTTTTTCTTCTCTTTCCTCCTGCAACACCCCCCATTCAGACTCCATGTTTAAAAGTCCCTCCTCCAGGCTGCGATGGATGGATGGATGAATGAATGGGAAGATTCCTCCTGGCAGTTAAGCCTGGTTTCAGGCCCACTTCCTGCTTCTGGATCTTGGGCTGAACCTCTGCCCCAGAGGAAAAGGAGAGCCAGATGTTGGTGGTCTGTGGCTGCCCTTCAGGAATTTGTATATCTTCAGCCTATCCAAGTAGCAAAATTGTAACCCTTTTCTTTCATCCTGGGAAGGGGGGGTATCAGGATTCCCACAGGCTGCATGTGCACGGGTAGGAGCTCTGTGTTTGAAGCCTGTCAATTCTTCTTACTCCTTGTGTGACTTTGAGTCTTCAGACCTCAGAGTCCTAACATATAAAATGAGGATTTTTCCTGTGCTTTCTTCTAATTGAACATCTGTGATCTTTTCACTCTTTCTTGTAGAAATTTGAAGTATGATCATTTCAGAGGACTACACTGGAGTCAGAGTACCTGGACTCAAATCTTGCCTTGGTTACTTATAATCTCTATGATCTTGGGCAAGTCATTTTATCTCTTTGGACCTCAGTTTCCTCATCTGTAAATGAGGGGGTTGTAGTAGAAGGTCTCTAAGGCCTCTGCCAGCTCTAAATCTGTGAGTCTGTTCATGTGTCTGGTCATTCTAAGGCTTCCTTTCTCTTTCACAGGTCTGCCTTTTGAAAGATTTGCTCTTCTAAAAGAAAGAAGTATGGAGGAGAAAGGAATGGTCCCTCTGATTCTAACAGCCATATGCAAGGTGAGTTGGAGTTTCCTCTTCCTTTTTTCTCTTTTTTCAATTTTTTAAAGCTAAGTTCTTTTTTTGAGTTTCTTCTTTCTTTGTTTTTTATTATAGAAATTTATTTATTTTTAGTTTTCAACATTTACTTCTGCAAGATTTTGAATTCCATATTTTCACCACATCTGCCCCTCCCCCCACCCCAAGATGGCATGCATTCTGAATACCCCTTCCCCTAGTCTGCCCTCCCTTCTATCTCTCCCCCCCCTTCTCTTATCCCCTTCCCCTTCTATTTTCCTATAGGGCAGGATAGATTTCTGTACCTCATTTCCTGTATTTCTTATTTCCCAGTTGCATGTGGAAACATTTTTTTTTAAACATGTGTTTTTAAAACTTTGGGTTCCAAATTTTCTCCCTTCCTCCCACCCCACCCACCCTCATTGAAAAGGCAAGCAAGTCAGTACAGGCCATACATGTGCAGTTATGCAAAACACTTCCATAGTAGACATGTTGTGAAAAACTAACTTATTTCCCTTAATCCTATCCTGCCCCCCATTTATTCTATTCTTTCTTTTGACCGTGTCCGTCCTCAGTAGTACTTCCTTCTGATTACCCCTTTCCCAATCTGCCCTTCTCTCTATCATCCCCCTGCTCTCTTGTCCCCTTCCTCCCCTATTTTCCTGTAGGGTAAGACAGATTTCCATACCCAATTGAGTGTGTGTGTTATTCCCTCCTTAAGCCAAATCCTATGAGAATGAGATTCCCTCATTTCCTCTCACCTTCCCCTGTTTCCCCTCCACTGTAAGAACCTTTTCTTGTCTGTTTTGTGCAAGATAATGTACCCCATTCTACCTCTCTCCTTCTCCTTCTCCTAGTATAATCCTCTCTCACCCCTTAATTTTATTCTCCAGATATCACCCCTTCATCTTCAATTCACCCTGTGCCCTCTATCTATCTATCTATCTATCTATACATACATACATACATATAATTTTTCCCCTCCAACTACCCTAATACTGACAAAGGTCTCGTGAATTATAATTATCATCTTTCCATGCAGGAGTGTAAACAGTTCAGCCTAAATAAGTCTCTTATGATTTCTCTTTCCTGTTTACCTCTTCATGTTCCACTTGAGTCTTGTTTTTGGAAGTCAGATTTTCTATTCATCTCTGATCTTTTCATCAGGAATGCTTGAAAGTCCTCTATTTCACTGAATGACTGTTTTTTCCCCTGAAGTATTATACTCAGTTTTACTGGGTAGGTGATTCTTGGTTGTAATCCTATCTCCTTTGCCCTCCGGAATATTATATTCCATGCCCTGCAGTCCCTTAATGTAGAAGCTGCTAAATCTTTTGTTATCCTGATTGTGTTTCCACCATACTTGAATTGTTTCTTTCTGGCTGCTTGCAATATTTTCTCCTTGACCTGGGAACTCTGGAATTTGGCTACAATATTCCTAGGAGTTTTCCTTTAGGGATCTCTTTCAGGAGGAGATCAGTGCATTCTTTCCATTTCTGTTTTGCCCTCTGGTTCTAAAATATCAGGGCAGTTTTCCTTGATAATTTCTTGAAAGATGATGTCTAGGCTCTTTTTTTGATCATGGCTTTCAGATAGTCCAATAATTTTTAAATTCTCTCTCCTGGATCTATTTTCCAGGTCAGTTGTTTTTCCAATGAGATATTTCACATTGTTTTCTAATTTTTCATTCTTTTGGATTTGTTCTACTGTGTCGTGATTTCTCATAAAGTCACGATATTCCAATTGCTCCATTCGAATTTTTAAGGAAGTATTTTCTTCAGTAATCTTTTGGACTTCCTTTTCCATTTGGCCAATTTTGCTTTTTAGGGCATTCTTCTCCTCATTGGCTTTTTTGGACCTCTTTTGCCATTTGGGTTAGGCTATTTTTTTTAAGGTGTTGACTTGTTTTTCATGATTTTCTTGCATCACTTTCATTTCTCTTCCCAGTTTTTCCTCTGCTTCTCTTACTTGCTTCTTAAAATCCCTTTTGAGCTCTTCCAAGGCCTGGAACGGATTCATATTTTTCTTGGAGGCTTTGGATGTGGGAGCTTTGACTTTGTTGTCTTCTTCTGATTGTATGTTTTGATCTTCTTTGTCACCAAAGTAAGATAATATAGTCTGACTCTTTTTGCGAGGTTTGCTCATGATCCCAGCCAACTACTTGAGTTTTAAACTCTTTGTTAAGGTAGAAATCTACTTCCAATGTGGAGAATGTACTGTCCCAAGCTTCAGGGGTTTGTATAGCTGTTTTCAGAGATACTTCTAGGGCCCTGTAAATTTTCAGTTCTTCCAGGGTGGTATGATAAGGGTCGAGGTGTTTACTCTTTTCCTTGCCTGAGCTCTGGTCTTTGAGTGACCGGCCACAAGCAGTCTTTTCTCTCTTGGAACTGTGAGGAGGGTTTTCTCTCCACTGCCACTACAAGCTCCACCGTGCCAGCGCTCCTCCTCACCCCAGGACCACCACCCAGAACTGTGACCCAGATCCAAGCACGGGCAAAGCAAGAAATTCCTGCCTCAGCACTGGCAAGGAGATCCCTGCAGTCCCCCTCTGATCAACCACTTGATGCCCCCTCAGTCTGTGGGCCAGAAGCTCAGGACACAGCCACCACCCTGGCACCCACGCTCTGCGCCCTGGAACTGGCTCTGACCTAGCTCTTCTCTCACCGCAAAAACAGACTTTTCCCACTGATCTTCTAAGTTGTCTTTGGCGTTCCTGGATTGAGGAGTCTGGAAGCCGCCACGGCTGCCCGTGATTCAGTCCTCTGAGGCCTGCTCTAGGTTCACTGCGGCCCGTGCGCCCACGCCGAACTGGGCTCCTCTCCCCACCTGGCACGATAAGCCTTTCCGATCAACCATCCAGGCTGTCTTGGGCTGGAAATTTGTTTTACTCTGTCTTTTTGTGGATTCTGCTGCTTTAGAATTTGTTTAGAGCCAGTTTTTTAATGGGTATTTAGAGGGGTTTGAGGGAGAGCTTAAGCAAGTCACTGCTTTCATGCCGCCATCTTGGCTCTGCCCCCACCCCCCCAAGTTTCTTCTTTCTTTAAATGATAAATGAATTCTCAGAAAAGGAGACCTTCATTTCTCAATTGCTGTGACCCAAGAGATTGGTGCCATGCTTTCTACTTGTCTAGTGTTCATCCTCCCAGACCCTAGCTAATTCACAAAGGCATCCTGGTCTGCTGCATGCTCATTGCTGAGATAGGTATCAGGGCCATCCAGAAGATGGATAAGTGACCGTCTTTTTGTACAAGAAATGCTCAACTTCACTAGAAGGATAGTAGCAAGTGGAATGAATGCATGAGCATCTATGAAGAAGTACTTAATATGTGCAAAGTAGTAGATAAGAATAGAGAAGTAAAACTGTCCTTGTCTCTCAGGGAGCTCACATCCTAATGGGGGAGACGATACACCTGAACGGTTTTAGCTGCAAGTCAGATGGCAAGGTCTCAAGGTCTTTAGAAGCTAATGCTTCTTCGTTTAACAGAATTTCTACTGATAAAATCTTTCTCGGTTCGTGATATTGAACCATGTGGTAGTGCCAAGACGTTGGTAGCAAAAACTCTTTCTTCTGGGTCTTCAGCAGCTGGGACTACAGCCCCTGAAAGAGCAGTGGCCAGGCTGCAGGATGATTGCTGAGGACATGGGCTGGAAGCATTGCTTTTCCTAAGGTCTTGGGCTCAGGGTGCTAGGCCAGCTCCACCAGTGTCTGAGGGGAGATGGGGGCCATGGTGCCTGTGGCAGCCTGATCTGCTGGTACATGTCCTCTATCTCTCCCTCGGGGTGATACATCTTTCTCTCCCTTTACCCTTCCTTTTTTAAAGCACCGCGATGAGTGGGCAGAGATATTCAGAAAAGGAAGATATTCATGTGAGTTTGCATGGGGAAGGACTCATAAAGGATGCATGATTTGAGTTAGATATGAGCTAACATGTTTTCTGTGGCTGAACTGGACTAGCTTAGCAAATAACTCATATTTGGTAGTTGTGGTAGGAGATGCATTAGTCGGGGTGAACTCAGATTGTGGAAAGCCATGGAAAATACTATTGGGCTATTCATTTCCCCTTCTGCAAAGAATAGAATTCAGGGGTAGGGAACCTGCAGCCTTGAGACCAAAATTTGGATTCAGACTATAGGCTGCACCTAAGGACCTAGAAGGCCAAAATTTGGATTTGGTCAAAAGATTGGAATAGATCCTTAGCCCACACATTTTAGGAGTGGAAGTGCTTGTTCTGGGTAGAAGTATGAGACAAGGTATGGAAGGGGCAGTAATGGGTTGAGTTGAAGACAGTATATAGGGCATTAGCTCTGGAGCTAAATTGTAATGAGTTAAGGAAGGAATGGGCATGGGGTGCCATGGTGGGTAGAGCGCCAGGCCTGGAGTCGGGAATACCCATCATCCTGAATTCAAATCTGACCTCAGACATTTACTAGATGTGTGACCCTGGGCAATTTACTTAACCCTGTTTGCCTCAGTTTTCTCCTTTGTAAAACCGGAGCTGGAGAAGGAAATAGCAAAGCACTCCAGTATCTTTGGTGAGAAACCCCAAATGGGGTCACCAAGAGTCAGACAGGATTGAATCACAGCAAGGAGGGAATGCAGTGAAGGGGGGTATTGGGTGTGCAGTGCTCATTAAAGGAATGTGATGGGGCTGAGAGTGGCCTTGGGGCTTGGGGAAAAGAAAACTAAACTGGGAAGAGCATAAAGCTTTAAAGGGGAAGGTTTTAGCTGGAATATCTCAAGCATTCTTCTGAAGAGGTTTCACTGATGCAGTTTGCTTTAATCACAACCATTTACTAATACTGCCTCTGTAGTATCTTTCCCACAAGAGTGACTGTGAGTGATAGCAGATGTAGTAGTACTCCTCATCTGTAGTTTGCCACTTTTCTCCCAAGAGGGAGAATCATGGGATCATAGATATAGAGGTGGAGGGGACCTTAGTGCTTCATGCAGGCCATCTTCCTCCTCATTTTACATTTGAAGAAACTGAGACCCAGGGAAGCTAAGTGGCTTGCCTGAGGGTGCACAGCCAGGACTTGACCCATGTCCTCTGGCTTTTAAGTTCAGCACACTTTCAACAGCACCCAGCTGTCTCCCAGCTTTGGTTATTTTGAACCAGTTTTGAGCTAGAATTATTACATTTGATCTGATTTCTGGTGTTCTACCTCTGCTTACACATTGCAATCTTTATATTGTTTTTCTCATTCTAATTTCCTCATTTTATATCAGTCTGTTCTCATCTTCCCATGTTTCTATGAAGTAATGTATTCATTATTCCTAATGGCAAAATAAAATTCCATTCTATTCCTGAACCAAAGATTGTTCATGAATTCCTCAACTGACAGACTTTGTGATTTTACCATGCAAAGTGCTGCTATGAATCATTTGGTATCAGTAAGAACTTTCTATCATTGACCTCCTTGGGGTAGAAGGCTAGTTGTGTGATCTATGGGTCCAAGGGTGCAGTTAGTGAATCATTAAATTTATTAAGTGACCTACTGTGGGCCAGACACCGTGCTAAGTAGTAGGCCTACCAAGAAAGGCAAAAACACTTCTCAAGGAGTTCCCAGTCTAATGAGCAGGCAGCATGTAAGTAACTAGATACAGGCTGTACCTCCTCACTCCAGAGCCTGGTGGGTGTTAGGAGGGAACACCGGGACACTCTCTTCCTTCCTTGTCTGACAGTCTCTCTCTCCATTCCTGCCTTCGTGCTGGGGGGTGTAAGCATGCACATCTCTTCCCTGACCTCCTCCTCCACTGCCCTGTACCCACACACACAGATCCTCCCTTCTCTGATCCTCCGTCGCCCACAAAGGATCTCCAGGGTTGGTGGCAGATTTCTTGATCTGGTCATAATCATTACTCTTTCCATCTTTCCCTTAGCCTTACAGCCCATCCCCTTAGTCTCCATTTCCCACTCTTCCATTCTCTCCCAGGCCATCCCCCCACACTGGCTATATTCTCTTCCTTTCGCTATCTCTACTGCATCATGAACCAGTCTTGCTCTGTGTAATCCTCTGTCTTGAATCCTTTCTCCCTTTGCCTCTCACATTGTACCAACCCCAGCTCTGGATTCCCCCAGCATCTGGCTCTTGCTGTCTGGGCAGGCTTTCAGTCCCTTCGGGAGCTGTGCTGCCCTATCTGTGCAGTCTTTTTAGAAATAAGTTTTGTTGATTCCTGTTGGTTTTATGTGACAGTCATTTGGGGATCTAGCCCCTCCCTGTAGCTTTGGACTCTTCCTCATATCACAGAGAGAAGTAAAGTCGAAACGACCGCTCCCAAGCCTGCGTCTGACAGTGTGTGCAGCATTGTGCTCCCACAGTTTTCCATCTGTTGGGAGAAGAGAGTTTTGTCTCATCCCTTTTCTAGGACCAGGACTAGCTGTTAGTTACTCAAAGTTCAGTGCATTCTTTTGTTCTTTTCATTTGTTACCATTATCACTGATATAATGCTCTCATGACACTGTATCTGTCTTTTACAAATCCTCCTGTGTTGTTTCTGAATTCCTCATATTATTTCTTAATGTAGAGTAAAACTCCATATTGTCCACAGGCCATAGCTTGTTCAGCCATTCCCCAGTTAATAGGCACCTACTTTGTTTGCAGTTTTTCACTACTACAAAAAAGTGCTGCTGTGAACTCTCCGGCACATATATGGGGCTGGCCTTTCTGGTTTGGATCTTCTTGGGCTAAGCCCACTGGTTAGGTTGATTTTATCTTGTGGTCTTGTAGTCTATGCAGTTATCTCCTTTGTATGTTGAAGTAACCGATTCCAGCTTCCTATTTGCCTGGGACTTTTGCTACCATGAAAGGACTTGGGGATCCTTCTGAGGAGTTATGGCTTTGGGAAGACAGCGCTTTCCAGTTTTATCTTTCTCTAGCAGTAAGGATTTAGTGGCAGCAAATTAGTGGAGGTATAGCTCTAAGCGTTCAAATTAATGGAAAATATAGGACTCCCTTGGGGTGCCCATGGATAGGGTGCCATTAATGGAGCAGAATCATCACGTTAAATACGTTGACCTTCAGGAGGTATTTGACAAGAAATATTCAGAACCCTGAGTATTGCGGAAACCATACCACATACAACTGGCTGAATTCTTATCTTCCCAAGATGACAGTGAGAGAAGATCCTTGGATGAACAGGAATGTGTGTTTGTTGTTTCAGGAGTCAGTGACGTTCAAAGATGTGGCTGTGGACTTTAGCCAGGAAGAGTGGGGACAACTGAATCCTGCCCAGAGGCAGCTGTACAGGGATGTGATGCTGGAGAACTACAGGAACCTGGTGTCCTTGGGTGAGGTCCACTATGTCTTTGCGTATTCACTTGGCTAGAGGCTGTGGCAATGTCTCAAATATTTAGCTGACTGAGCTATAATCTGGGGCAATCCCCAAACCATTTTGGACTAAGAGAAGTCACTTCTGCTCCTTCTTTCTAGGTGAAAGGTATTTGTTTTATATAACTGAGTAATTAGGAGCTTGGCGGTAACATCCCTGAGGCGGCACCTTTCCCATTCTTTGTTCCTCCAGGTCAAAGGCTCCTTATTAAGGCACCAGAGCAGGAAAGTAGAGACATGGAAGCTTCCCATCTTCATATCAAGGATTAGGTCTTTGAGGACAAATTCCCTGTGACCCACCTTTACTCATTTCTTGGGTATTTTATGAGGTCCTCTCCAACCCTCTCTGGACCTTTTCTTTTAGTTGCTGAAGAGGAAGGGGATTAGGATTGAATGCGGAGATGGCCCTGATCAATGCACTTTCCCACTTCTTTCCCGATGAGCAGGGCTTCCAGTTTCCAAACCAGAGGTGATCTCCCATTTGGAGAGAGGAGTCATACCATGGATGTTGGAAAGGAAAGTCCCAAGAGACATCTGTCCAGGTAAGGCTGTTAGGAGTCATGGCCGGGAGCTCTGAAGTCCAGGACTTCAGAGTGGACTGGGGGCTCTCTCCAGGCCTCAGTCTGCCACCAAGATCTTACTCATATACTGGCAGAATGGTGGATCCAGAAGGGGCCTCAGATAGCATCTTGTGGGCCTCACCAGTGTTTTCAATGTGGGGGTTGCTGGGACTAGAGCGTAAGGGCTGTTATTCCTAGGCCTGTGCACTTAACTGGTAACTCTTTCCTTTTTACTCCAGCTCCCATTCTTTCCAACCCTCTCCCATGATTAAATCCTTAAACTTCCCAAATTTTCCTTTCCTTCTGCTTTCACAAGTGTATTTTACTTAATAATTTGGTTTTCAATATGTACTTTGAACATATATATATTCATATATGTTATATAAATTTATGTGTGTATGTGTTTGTGTGTTTGTGTGAGTGTGTGTGTACCTACCTTTGCTTAATGTTGCTGGGTTGTTTTTTTTTTAATCTGCCTTCCAGTTTGTTTCATTCTTTATATTGTCAGACTCTGCAAATATATAATCTATACTAGCCTTCTCCATTTCTTCAAATCCCATTCTGATGTTAAAATCTTGCAATCTGGCTTCCAGTTTCAGAATGCTCCTTCAAGTCATCTTTGATTTCCATAATAGTATTAATAGATTGCACAAATTAAACATTTTACAGTTTGTAAAGTGTTTTCCTCACAATCACAGAACCTTTGACTTGACAGGGATGATTTCTCAGGAGTCATTTCTTCAATAGCACCCAAACAGAGGCTCTCTGCAACATCTCACATGAATGAATGAATGAATGAATGAATGAATGAATGAATGATGAATGAATGAAAATATTTGTAAGGACTTAGTGTAGGCAAAGCACTGTAGTAAATTGAAGGTACAAATAAGCCATGTAGGCCCTATTGTAAAAGAGTTCACATTCTCTTTGGGGAGATGGCATACAGGAGAACTGAACTACAGTGATGGCCTGGTATCCTGCAGGGGCCAGCAGTAGGGCAGGTGTCAATGCCTAGGGGCCTAGAAGGGTTAGCAGCAGGGCAGATGGCAATGCTGAAGCATCTACAAGGGTCAGCAGCAAGGAAGATGGTAAGGCCAGGTGGTCTGGATGACAGGTGATCCAGTGGTGGCCAGAGGGTGGAGGGCAGCTAAGCTGATGTACAAACATCTTATTTAGTGCATTATGATTGGTAAAACCATGTTAAGTTTCTACTATCGTTTGACAGTACCAGAGATATTGCAAGGCATTTATGTTCTGTGTCTTTTTATTTTATCATTTTCGATAAAAGGATTTGCCTTCTCAGAAAAAAGTGAAGATGAAATAAGCCTTGAGCAAGTCGGCCATCTCTCTCTCTCTCTCTTCGGTCTCTTGTTGCAGCAGCAATCATTCCTTCCAGCAGTAGACGGTATTGAACCAGTAGAGGTTCAGAAAAACCCTACCCTGTTTTTTATTCTGCTAGGCTTCTCTGACCAGATCCAGGTGTCTCAGAGCTTGAACATTCCTCACAGCATTTTGACAAGACTGTGCTATGCTTTTATAGTATGTTCATCCTTTGTTACCTGACCTTGCTTCTGTCTTCTGTGTGTTTTTTTTTTAAGTCTTAAGTTGGTTGGTGAGTTCCCTATTCATCTAAATAGGTCTAAACAGGTTATTTAAAAATAACCTTCATTTTTCCCTGTTGGAATTGTTACCCTTTTAGTCTTCAGAATTTCATTCTTGAACATCTACCATAGGCTGATTTCCCCATTGGATTTAGGCCCTGGGATCTTATCTATCCTTTCCCCTGACTCCTTTGAAACTTGCTTTCCAAAAATAGGGTTTTAGTCAGACTTGGTCTGACTCTCTTTTCTTTCTTGGTCTCCAACTCTAAGGGAAGTGGTCACATCTCCCACCCCCTTCAAAGTTCCCATCATTTCCACACAAGCAAGAAGTTCTTTCCTGTTAATGGGAATTCTACCTGTGATGGAATCATTCCATGTTGGTTCGTCACCTTTTGAAGGGTGAAATTATCATCCTACCTAGTCAGGAAGTTATCATCTGCTGTGTTTCTGGCAGACAAGGCTCCCTCTGATGTCTGGATAATTAAAGGCCTCTCGAGCTGTTCTGTGATGCCTCACTGCCAGGCTTGTGGTTGTTGCGCAGTCTCCTCATCTGTTTGCTCTTTGGGTCCAGGTGGTCTGCAGTCCAGTCTAAGAAGAAAACTTTCCGTTCATGTCTGTATCAATCTTCATTCAGATGTGCGCTGTACTTTCTCACCTACCTCCTCGATATGCATTGTTATTCCACCCTCCCTTTACCTATGGTGGGCTCATCTATTTAGAGCTGGGAGGAGCCTTTTGGTGGCTATCTGTTCTAACCTTCTTGTTGACAGATGAGGAAACTGAGGCCCAGAGAGGTTAAGTGACTTAGGCATGGTCATGCAGGTAGTGTCAGAGGCAGGATGTGAACCCAGGTCTTTCTGACTCCAAATCTGGCTCTGTGACCACTACACTATGCTTTCTCTTTTTAATAATTTCTACCCACCCAGTGTTATAGTTGTCATGGCTTTTATCCCCACTTAGTCTCGTAACACCCATGAGACCAAATTTGCCTCCTTCAGACCTCTAGTTCTTCCTTATTTTCTAAACTTTGGGCATTTGTATATAGGTGTTTGAGGCCATGCATGGATTTTTACCACTTGCTCATTTAAAAAAATGTTGTCTCCTATGAGCTTTTGGGTATCTCACCACTCTTTTTCTTTTGCTGTAGATATTCTCTGTGGTAGCTAGCTTGGGGGCCGTACCCAGGCAATTTTCTCCTTACTCAGTCCATTTTTGTTTAAAACCTTTTTGATGACTAAATTGACTCCTTTTGAATTGAGTCTTTCTAATGCCGAGTCTAGGACTTTCCCCCACAGTGTGCCGCTAGGTGGTGCCACAGTGCACACAGCACTGGGGCTGGGAATCAGGAGAGCTCTTATTCCTGAATTCAGATTTGGCCTCAGACACTTACTAGCTGGGTGACTCTGGACAAGTCACTTAACCCTGTTTGTTTCAGTTCCTCATGAGCTGGAGAAGAAAATGGCAAACCGCTCTGTTATCTTTGCCAAGGAAATCCTAAGTGGGGTCACAGAGAGCGAGACGTGACTAAAATGTCTCAGCGTGTTGCCGTCCACTTGTCTTCTGCCTAAAGAAGGTTCTTTTCTCCAGTTGGAGTCTTTTGAAGCCTTGCTGATGCTTCGACAGTGTTGATCCCTCATGGCTCACATTTCCTCTTTGTAGCTTCCGCCCTTTGTCCCTAGATCCGCAGCCTGGGGTCAAGCAGAACAAGCCCAACCCTCTTCCAAGTGACAGCCTTTAAGACGCTTGAACACAGCTGTCGTGTTCCTCTGTGGATAGTCTCTTCTTTAGGGGAGGTGTCCCCCTTTCTCTGGATTGACCTTTGTGTGTCCTTCGAACATTCTCATCACCGTCCTGCGGACATGTCGTGGCTTGTCAGTGTCCTTCCTGAAATATGGCACCCAGAGCCACACTCAACTTCTGATCTGACAAAGGCAGAGAGAGAGCAGGACTTTCACCTCCCTTTCACTGGACGCTGCCTCAGCTCGTACAGCATGACATAGCGAGGAAAATCATTTCAACCCAGGCTCTAGGAGTCCCCAAGAATGGGCAGAGATGAATAGGAGCCTTGGAAGAGCCTCTTTCTGGGCAGTGAAACAATTTGGGGGGCCATTGAGGTGCCTGGGTAAGCCATGTGCCTTCACCTGTTTCTAGAGCAGCCCACTGGTTTCCTCCAAGGCTGCAAATGCTTCTTTGGTAGCACAGTTTGGGAAGATCAGCTTCAGTTTTTACTATCGCGACAAGGTCTTTGGAGCCTCCAGCCTAGGATGCTTACTGGGGCAAGAGGTGTCTTGGGCTATCGTCTGAGCGATGGGTAGAGGGAAGGAATTGTTGGAGTCCACACTAGATAATACTGTTAGCTCCTCTTGGGCTAATGTCTCCTAGAGATTAAGGCAGTCAGTCATAGGAGACCCAGAGGAAAGATTCCTCCTGAGGAGAAATGGCCTGGTCCAGCCACCAGGGGGAGAGACTGCAGTGGAAGCTGAGCACGGTCAAACGAGCGAAGGCCAGATCCAGTCAGTATCTGGAGGATGAAACGGTAAGTTCAGGAAAGTTGGCACGGAGTCCAGAAGTCCAAAGGGAAGTAGTAGGCATCGGCAGAATTCCTGTTTGGCGCATGCAGTTTGTGGGCCTGAAGAGTTGCTTTGGGTCCGTGGCCTTGTGCTCTTTAGTCCTTCTTCATTGATCAGACATGATGGTATATGTTGTTATGCACATAGGGACTTTCTTTTTTTCACTGTGTGGGCCTTACTGTGGGACTGATAAGATTGGTCCTAGTTTTCCACCATAGGTATAAATCACAAGTCTAATCACATGGCAGATTTTTAAATAATTGAAAATAATCTCTCTCTCCTAAGTCTTCCTTAAGCTAAACATGGCCATTTCTTTGAGCCACTCCTGGGATATGGTTTTTATAGTATTCCTCTAGATATGACGTAGTTGACCAATACCCTTCCTAAAGTGTTGCATACCCATAACTGAACACATAATACAGTTTTGTGTCATCTACACAATTCATAATGGAAGCTTTTATGTTTTCACTGAAGTTGTTGACGAATATGTTGAATAGGACAGGGCATGTATGAAGCCCCAAAGGACCACAGTGGTGGACTTCAAACTCAGTTGACATTAGTCCATTATCCAGGACTCTTTAAGGTGATTAAGCTCACTACCTACTTGTACTGTTATCTAACATGGTTATTGGGGTTTTGTTTGTTTTTTGTCTTGTCCAAAAAGTTACATTGAAAGACTATGTAAAAAACTTGCCCAAAATTTAAATAAATGTTAGCCACATAATCAGCCAGTTTAGAAATCTAATCATTTAAGAAAATGAGGATCTTTTTGGAAGGTTTATTGTTATTGAATCCTTGGCATGTTTATATATATATATATATATATATATATGTGTGTGTATGTGTGTGTGTGTGTGTGTGTGTGTGTGTGTGTGTGTATACATATATACATATCTGTGTGTGTATGTTATATATATACATATATATATGTCTGTCTGTATGTATGTATGTATGTATGTATGTATTTGCTAATTAATTTTGTCAAAATTTTGTCAAAGATTGGCATTAGGCTTTACTTGTCTTCAGTTTCCTGAATCAACTTGTTTGTCCTTACTGTAAATTTTGTCGTTTTTCCCAAAGATTAACAACAATGGTGCTTTAATGGCATCAACGTGTTCTTTCAGCTTCTTTTAAGTGTGATTAATTTTGTCTTGGATACTAATACTTATTTAAAGCATCTAGGTGCTGTTACTATCTTCTCGCATATCTGGAATGTTGTTTTTTTCTCACTAGTGTTTGTTCTGTACTTTCCATGTTAATCATTTCCCTTTTTAGAGGAGATAGAATCTAAAATTTACTGTAAAGTAGTTTCCTTTGTCTCAGCAAAATGAAAAATTAATATTGACTTTTTTTTTCATCTTTCAGAGTCCATTAGTCGGGAGCTTAGTTGTGAAACCATAGAGTCACCTTCAACACAGAGCATTTCTGTGGGAGAACCCTTTGAGGAAGGACTCAGAAAGAATGGTTCCTGGATTTCCAAGCTAGGAGAAGTCTGGGAATGTAATCTCAAATTAAACCAACAAAAGTGTTATGAGGAAAGGCAGTCCCATCAAGTGACAGTCACCCCCAGAAAAGGTTCTACTAAGATTAATGTTAATGAATGTAATACATTTGAAACAAACTTCAGCCTGGGATCAATCCTTTTTGTCCAACAGAGAGTTGATACAGAAGGAAGTTTGCATAAATGTGATAAACCTGTAGGAAACTTTAAACAATATTCAGAGCAAATTAAGCATCATGGAATTATTTTTGAGAAGATTTGCAAATATAATCAATGTAGGAAGTCATTCTGTTATCATTCAGGTCTTAATCAATATCATGGAAAATATGTTGAGGAAAAAACATCTAATGGCAATAAATGTCTGACAGTCTTTAGAAACACCTCATCCTTTACAAATAATAAGAAATTTCATAGTGCCGAGAAACCTTTTCCTTGCAGTGAATGTGGGAAAGCCTTCAGCCAGAGAGGAAACCTCACTGAGCATAAGAGAACTCACACTGGAGAAAAACCCTTTGAATGTCATGAATGTGGGAAATCTTTTAGTCGTAGTGCACATCTTACTGAACATAAGAGAATTCATACGGGAGAGAAACCTTTTGTTTGTAGTGAATGTGGAAAATCCTTTAGCCGAAGTGGACACCTTACTGAACATAAGAGAGTTCATACTGGAGAAAAACCCTTTGAATGTCATGAATGTGGGAAGTCATTTTGCTGGAGTGGACAGCTTACTGAGCATAAGAGAATTCATACTGGGGAGAAACCCTTTGAATGCCATGAATGTGGAAAATCTCTTAGCAACAACTTTTGCCTTACTCTACATCAGAGAATTCACACTGGAGAGAAACCCTTTGAATGTAATGAGTGTGGGAAATCCTATAGCCGGAGTGGACACCTTATTGATCATAAGAGAATTCATACAGGAGAGAAACCCTATGAGTGTAATGAGTGTGGGAAATCCTTCAGCCAGAGGGGACACCTTACTAAACATCAAAGAATTCATACTGGAGAGAAACCCTTTAAATGTAATGAGTGTGGGAAATCCTTCAGCCAGAGGGGAAATCTTACTGAACATGAGAAGATTCATGCTACAGTGAAGCCCTTTGAATGTAACAAGTGTGGGAAGGTTTTCAGTCGAAAGTCTTACCTTCGTCTGCATCAGAGAATTCATCCCTTAGAGAAAACTTGATGGGGAAAAAGACTTCCACTGTAGTTATTGCCTTATTTGATATGAATAAGTGAGTGAATGAGTGAAAAAGCACTTTCTGCATATAAAGCACTGTGTGGATGGAGGGGAAGGAGGTTACAAATAGAAAATTGAGACAATCCCTGCCTCCAAGGAGCTTATATTCTAATGGGGGAGACAAACATATCTAGGAAGTTTCAGGTGCGAGTCAGATGGAAAGCCCCAGTGCTTCTTAGGGTGAAGCAACAAGGCAGATGGTAATACAGCTTCTTCAATTTTATTTTCACTTATAAAGCCATATCCCTTTCTGATATTGAACTGCTTGACATTATTCAGTGTCTGAGAGTTGAGAAAGATCTCAGAGGTGACCTAACCCAATCCATACCTTACCAGTAATTCCTTCCACTTGTTAGTAATTTTAACATGCTGCTATATGCTATTAATTCATATTTTATTAAGTATTTTTGGACCCAGATACACTGGGGAAATTAACACATGCAGGTCCATTGAAATAAGTATTTTAATCCAAGAGCCAGCTTACACCAACAAGAAGCACACGTGGTAAGAGCAGCTACAAAACAAGAAACCTGATTCTCGCCACCTGCCTTTGACATTATATTGGATGTTGTAGCAGGTTTAAGTAGACAGGTTAAAAATAGGTTAGGGGAATTAACTTGAAAATGCAGATGTCAAGGGGCAGCTAGGTGGCGCAGTGGATAGGGCACCAGCCCTGAAGTCAGGAGGACCTGAGTTCAAATCCAGCCTCAGACCAAACACTTGACACTAGCTATGTGACCCTGGGCAAGTCACTTAACCCCAATTGCCTAAAAAAAAAAAGAAAAGAAAAGAAAATGAAGATGTCAAAATAGCATGCTTTGCAAATGGCATATGTAAGAAATCCAACTATTTCAACTGAAAGATAATAGAGACAGTATGTAGGGTCAGCAAGGTTACAAGACAGCAGATTAACCCATAGTATTCTTAACTCCTGTTTTCTAGTAGTGGAGATCAAGAATGTGTGTGAGGGAAACACACACACACACCATTTATGATAACAAAATCCATTAAATATTTCATAGTTATCTAGAAATATGTAGGATCCATATTAGGACAGGTATAAAACTATAATGAGTGAAATAAAAGAAATCATTGAAGGGAGTATTACAGTGAGTTCCAGAAAATAACTACCCAGAAGGAAGAAAATGAAATAAGGCACTGGTCTTAGTTGTGGAGATGAGAGAATTTTTTTCTTCCATTTCACAAATAGAACAAAAACAGAAAGACTAGGAAAATCGACAAATATGACAGGTAAAAAATGGACATCTAAAGTGTACAAGTAATGGATAATGGTCAAAGAATATGAAGAGGCAGTTTTTGAAAGGGGAAAAGTTAATCATCGCTAAAGAATTCAAAACAATATTGATACTACCTTACTACTACCAGGTTGGCAAAAAAATAAAAGCAACGTAAGCAATGCCGGCAGGCTTGTGGAAAAACAGGCCTATTGCTGAATCTTTTTTTATGGCAGGCAATCAACATGTAGTGAAATTTATAAATATAATCATGTCCTTTGACTCAGTAATTTCATTATTTGCAACATGCCCTGACAGTGTTGTCATTAATACAAAGTGTATCTGTTGGGAAATTTTCATTATAAATGCCCCATTATAACTGGAATGTAAAATGTCTTACGGTAGGATGATGTTTAATTAAATTGTTGTTCAGTCATGTCTGACTCTTCATGACCTCATATGGGGTTTTTTTGGCAGAGGTACTGGAGTAGTTTGCACTTTCTTCAGTGGATTAGGCAAACAGGTTAAGTAACCTTCTCTGTATTTTACTGTGTCTCTTCTGTATCATGTGGGTATCAAGCACTATAAAACTAAGGCCCAGGAGGAAGCGGTCTGCTCAGATCATGAGGAAGATCTGAGATCCTGTTCACTGAAGGGGTCCACTCCTTTTAATAAATGGTTAATGGCTGGACACTGTGTCTCAGAGGTTTTTTGGTAGAATGTACAATTTTGGACCCTACATTATGGCGACCCTAGATGGAATGGTGAAGCACGGGTCCCCATTTCCTTAGGCTGGCCCCTCAAGGGACCCAAAAAGAAGTGCAAGCCCTGATGATTTTTTGCCCTTGGCTCCTTCATGGACACTAGCCATGGGAGGTTGGATTCCCCTCGTGGTCCACACCCAAATACTCCAAGCCTGAAGTAAGTCTAAGCTGCAGATTGGTGAGTCCACCTTGATTTGCCCCCTAAATTCTTTCCATTAAAGGAAGATCCCCAGTTCAGCAGAGAGGGACTGTTTTATAACTAATCTGTTTACATTTATAAACTCAGGAGCAATTAAATGAATTTATAAAAATTATGGCCATGATTTTAATTCAAAGCCTATATTAATGTTTTCCCCTCCATTTTCTTTGCTTGCACTTTGCTAAATAAATGACTAGGAAGATTCTACAGTACAACTGCTAATGCCTTTTTTAGCAAGCTAGATAGAAAAACTTCCTGTTGGCAGTTAAAATAGATTTTTGCCTTTAAGTTCTTTTAATAAGGAATAATTTAATTATTAGAGAAATCCCTTAAATTGATTGAGGGGGCAGGGTGGTAGAGAGACTCTCAGTGGCTCACAAGCTGCTAAACAAAAAAAAAAAAATCAACTCCACAGGGCTTACCAGCAGAATAGTTAGTCTGTCTCTAAGAAGGCACCATTTAACGCCATCAGAAGTAAAGTGAGAGTGAAGCTTAGGGAGATGCAGGATTCTTGACTCAGTAGGAAGGCAAATCAAATTCAGTTTTACATGAATAGGTAACAATCCGAAGTGCTTTTATGATGGCCTGAAGGCTATGGGCCAAAGACCCATGGTGTATCTCTTTACCTACTCAGTGCAGATGGAGCCATATTGATCAGTGAGGAAGGTATGATCCGGAAGAGACAGGCTGAACACTTCCATAGTGTTCTCAAAAGACTGTCATCAACCGATGCTGAAGCCATTGACCGTTTACTTCAGGTTGAAATCAATCTGTGTCGAGCCAAACTTCCAACTGCAGAAGAGGTTTTGAATGCCCTTGGGCTGCTCTCCTGTGGCAAAGCTGACTCTGTTCCAGGTGAGATTTACAAGGTTGGGGGGGTCCACTGCTCATACAGAAGCTGACTGAAATGTTCTGGGCCACATGGCAAGAGGAGGTTATCCCTCAGGAGTACAAGAATGCCTCCGTTGTCCATCTATATAAAGGAAAAAGAAAGAGGTTGTCTTATGACAATAGGGAGTGGGAGGGCTCCTCTCTCTTAGTCATTGGTGGTAAGATTCTTGCAAGAGTCCTCCTTAATAGACTGATCCCTCACCTGGAAGATGGTCAGCTACCTGAGAGCCAGTGTGGTTTCAGAAATGGTTGAGGAACAGTCCATATGGTGTTTGCTGCCCAAGAACTCCAGGAGAAATGCCAGGTGCAGGACAGAGGTCTGTACACAAAGTTTGTTGATCTGACCGAGGCCTTCGATGCAATCAGGAGGGCTTGTGGAAGATTATGGCAAACTTTGGTTGTCTGGAGAAGTTCATCGATATCGTACGCCATTTCACCACAGCATGCCTGCAAAGGTTCTGGAGATGAACGGTGCTCTCGAGATCTCCCAGTCCCCAAGGGAGTGAAACAGGGCTGCGTGCTTGCTCCCATCCTTTGCAGCATGATGCTTTCAGCCATGTTGTTGGACACCTTCAATGAGGATGAAAATGTTATCAAGGTCAGCTACTGCACTGACAATAAATCACTTAACTTGAAAAGGCTACCAGCCGAGGCTAAAGTGGAGGGGGAGCTGGTGCACAGCTTTTTGCTTGCAGATGATTGTGCACTCAGTGCAGCCTCTGAGGCTGCGGTGCAACAAAATATGGACTGATCATTTGCTGCTCGTGGTAATTTGGCCTGACAATTAACACTGAGAAAACACAGGATCTCCAGCAGGCAGCACCACGCCGTCCGTACATTGGTTACAACAGATGGAGAACTTTTGAACAACTTGACAGTGCACTTTCTGGGGATGTACACATAGAAGATGAGGTTGACACACATTGCCAGAGCCAGCTCAGTGTTTGAGAGGTTCTGAAGGAAAGCGTGGGAGAGAAGAGGCATTAGGCTGCCTACCACACTGAAGGTCTACAGAGCCTTGTGCTGATTTCATTGTTGTATGTCTGTGAAACCCGGACAGTCTACCAGCGCCATGCCAGGAAGCTGAATTGTCTTAGGAAGATTCTGCAGATCACCTGATAAGATAAGGTACTGGACACTGAGGTCCTTTCTCCAGCTAAACTGCCAAGTATTCAAACTCTACTGCAGAGAGTGCAACTTTGGTGGGCTGGCCACATTGCTGGAATGCCAAATGTCTATTTGCCTAAAAGACTCCTTTTATGGAGAACTCACACAAGGCAAGCACTCAGAAGAGGTCAGAAGAAGCAGTACAAGGACACTCTCAAGGTCTCTTTCAAGAACTTTGGAATTGATTGTGAGAAAAGGGAGACACTGGCATAGGACCGCCCAACATGGACTACCTGTGTCAAAAAAGGCACTGTGTTCTATGAGCAAAGCAGAATTGCAGTAGCTCAAAAGAAATGTGAGATGCACAAATTTAGAGATGTTTGGAAATGTTCACATGGACTATTTGCCCAACCTGTGGTAGAGCCCTCTGAGCTTGTTTTGGTCTGACCAGCCACATTGTGCATTGACCCCAACATAATGATATTATTTTGGCGCTCTTTGAGTATGAAAGACAACAACTATTACAGGAGGACTGATGAGAAGACATTGTATTGTATGTGTAACAGGAATGGTCAGTGAACCCAGACCTTACAAGAATGAACAACATTTTTGAAAAAATTTTATTTTTTCCCAATTACATGTAAAAAATTTTAACATTCATTTAAAAAATTTTTGAGTTCCAATTCTCTCCCTCCTTCCCTCCTCCCCTCTCTTGAGAGAGTAAA